AATTTGCACATTATAAGTAGATCTTTTCTAAGAAAATGGTTTGTAAATTAATATTGTAATACTAGATTTATTTATTATTATTGTTAGCTGTATTAGCAAAAACGAAGAAGGGGTCGAGAACCAGAAAAAGATCTCAAAATCGTTAAAGGGGGTCGACAATCAGAAAAAAGAGACTGACTCCTTGAGACTCCTGCAGGAATGGATAGGAAACGAGTTAGATATTTTTTTTCCTAAAAAATACTGTAATGGAATGAGTTATATTCAGTATTCGTGTTATAAGAGTATGATTACATATTCAAAATTTTGCTAAGATAATGAGATCTGATACATATGATACATTTTGATTATTTTAGGTGTAGAACAATGAAATAGTTTATCGCTTTATCTGCCATGTCTCAAAATCATCGGCGATAATAATATAAACAAAATTTGAATTTTGAAATTATTTAAGTTAAAATAAATTATGACTGTATTAAACTTTTTAGCAATAAATAACAAAACATCACTTTTACAATAAAAGTTAATAAAGTGTGTAGTAATAATAAATTTATTCTAAATTATGAAGTAAATATATTATTTTCCTTATTTTTCTAATAAAGGTGATTTATTTAAAAGTAAATTATATTTAAATATATTAAAAAAATATAAATATACAGTATTTTTAAAAGTAAACCTATATTTACAAATATTCAACATTTATTTGTTGATTATAAAAACAAAATTAAAATCAATTTTAATAATTTCACAAACAATTTTAGTAATACCACGTATTTCCTTGACTTTCACAACATTACAAACTTAATAATTAATTTATTTTCATGGTCAAAATTCACATACAATATGATTTATGTTATAAATCCTTGACCAAGCAAACTAGACTACAATTGGTTTAACCCTTTATAAATAGGTTACCGTCACAAACTGATTAGTATATAAAGCAGAAAATAGTCGTTGTTGACAACATTCGATCATTAAAACTTCAAGTCAGAATGAAAACTTTGGTAAGTAATATTCTGATTTAATAAGTTTATGCTATAAAATAGCATTTGTGTAACTCGTATTCTTTTTCTTTAGATTTTCTTCCTTCTCCTTTCTTGCATCGTCTTAGCGTCCTGTTATCCTTACGAGGATGTCAGGTATCTGAAGGGATACGGAGGAAGTGGAGTCAGTAGGAGTTACGATGATAGAGGATATGAGGCGAATCGAGGATATGGAAGGTTTGGAGGATATGGAGGACATGGAAGTGGATATGCTCATGATTATTATTAGTCGATTCACCTAAAAGTATTTTGTAAGTTAAAAACTTAAACGAATTTGACATTTTATTAAATTAAATTATGCTCAATAATTTACAATACTATCTATATATTTCAGAAAATCATAAAATTCAACAGAAGTCGCAAAATATACATGTTTTTTATTTTATTTTTGTACATTTTACACTGAAAAATAAAAAGTATTTTTTATAATTTTTGTATTTGAAATATTTACTGAAGTATTTTAAACTGAAGTATTTTAAATCTGAGAAAAACGTTTACCGTGAACATAAATAAAAGTAGTTGTCGAATATGCAATAAAACTGATTCATATGAATATATTCTATAATCATTATTATATTTAATAAATTATATAAAATTTTGCCAAAAATGTTGATATTAAATCGAATTTTATTGCTAATTAATTTGTAAAATAGAAGTTGTGTTTAATAATAAATATAAGCGTATAAAAATTTTCAAATATTTTTATATTTTTTATACTTTTATATTTTTAAAATACAATTTATTTCTAGCAATATATGCATTAAAGACATTCAAAATATTATTATTTTCAAATAAATTAAAAATTTATATAGGCTAACATACTGTGAGAATGTAAGTTGGCATTTATATATTATTAATTAACTATGAACAAATTACTGCATGGAAAATCTAATTTGTATTTCGCGTCTCAACTGGAACCCAGGTATATTTTTCATCATAAAATTGTATGCAAATTTATAAAATAGGCCTATAGGATATAAGAACATTTGTTAAAAGTCTAAAATAGAATTTTATTTATATAACTATTTTTAATTTATAAATAATAACTATCATAATCTGTTATTCTATTGTAATGCGTTTGAAACGATTCGGATATTGGAAATCCGATTATCGGGAAACATTTTCTGTTATTTCTTAAGGAAAAATTTCTAATTCATTCTCTGTTCGTCCCAATAAGGCCAACCAACTTCCTCGAATGAGGTTAAAACACTTCAGGAAAACCTGCTTTTTTTACTAATCCTTGATTATAGCGTGATATTAAGCATTACATATTTTAATTATTTACTAACAAATACTTATGATCCCACTATAGGATATACTTGTAAGCGGAAAAACGAAAATAACTGCGGTTTCTTTAATATAGCCTGCAGTAGGCAGCAATTAAAATGTTGTAATGTTATTAAATATTTTATATTATGATATTACTGAGTAAAAACTGAACAATACCAATAAACAAATGGTATACTAAAGCAGAGTCGGCTATGACGCCTCAAACTATGAATCAACGTTGTCCTTCTCCGTTTTTAAAGCAAGTGCGCCTTTATTTCACTTAATGTGATTATTGTATCAATTATTTTGTTATAAATATTTATAATGTTGTCCTTTTCCGAATGGAATTAGCATACCCAGAAGCGTTCTTGAACTGGCTTTTGGCTTGGCTGTCACTCAATCTGGCGGAGAAAAAGACCAGAATTGAGTGCATATTTTTACAGAACCATTCTTTAAAGTATAAATTATTCAATTTTTCTTTAGAAAAAAGATTCAAGTCTTGTATTTTGAGGATCTTTGAAAAGTGATCTAAAGTTATCTTCAGCTTGAAATGAAGATATTGCAGATTGTGCAGGCCGATCCTGTAGTAAACTTACTATAATGAAATGTTAAGATTTATTCTTAACAGTTCATTATAGTAAGTTGATAAGATTGCAATAAAATTTTCTGATAAAAACCACTAAACAACACTACATAGATAAAATATAACACAATTTCATTAAAACAAATAAAAACAGAAACAAAGTTGCTCTCTACTTCTCATTTTTACTAATGCGAGTTCCGAAGTTTTGTCAACTGCACTTCGAAGAATAGAACGTAATTCGTTGTAGCGAGAATTCGGATACGGGGAGTTTGGATATTGTGGTAGGGTTGTATTAATTAATATATAAAACTTGTAATGTATATATAGACTACTATTTAAATTTCACAGATAAAACGTAATGATAAATTTTGCGCTTCTTACGTGAAATGTTGACAATGAAATATGGCGTATGTACAGTACGTTTTACAATTTACCTAACAAATTAATAAGAAACATATTAAGCGATTTATTAAATTATAAAATCAAAATCGAAACTAAATATCGCGAAATAATTTATTAAAGGATAGCTGCATAGAAACATTATTAACAGGTTAAATATTAGCAGATAATTGTATTTAATTTTTCTGTCTCTGTAGGAATATAGGAATACTAAAATGAAAATTTTTACATTGTGCAACATAATAAAAACGCACCATTAGCATTAATTAAGAGAATAAGTTTTTTAATTAGCGTTAAAGGAGACTTTCAAGCACATTTTCGGAAATACGACATATATTTTACGTTTGTGTTATAACTAAAACTTTATCAATATATAGATCAAAACCTAACGTACAAAATTTGACGTATAAACTATTTCTTTAATAATTAAGAAGTCAAATGAGAGAAGAAAAAGTAGGTTAAATTCCAAGTTAGATCTGACATTTTTGTACATATCCATTGTTAGTGATAGTTACTTTCTAATAAAATCTGAAATTAAAATTCATGAAATATATAAAAAATTATTTTTAAATTAAAATGATCTTCAAAATATCAATAAACAAATAATACAGATGCAAATTCGTTTCACCATGAACTATATAGTTCATGGTGAAACGAATGGAAATTATAAGTATTTTTAGATAAACAGAATTGATATTTTTAATTTTCTTTTTCTAACTTGTGTTAATAATGAAGTTAAGATTATTCAAGTGTAACTCAAAATGTATACATTTTATTAGAATTTGTTCATAAAGTTTCATGATTTTTTATATTAATTACACAAACATAAAACGATGAAAGGAGTGTTGTCACGTTATTTTTTATCAACAAAATATTAAATTTTAAACATAATGTTTGCAAATGAATTTTTAGATTTATTGTGTGCTTTATGTGACGTTGCTATTATATGTAATAATAAAAGAAATGCAGTTAAATTCAACATCCTCATAAAGAATTTACGATAAATTCAGTATAAACAATGAAAAACAAATTTAATTATTAAATAATGGTAATTAATAACGTGTACATTATTAAAGTTATCGCTTAAAATATATTTTTTAAATTTTAATTGAATTCAAACTTAATAATTTTAAGCTTCCTTACAAATACAAATTAGAAAAAGAATATTAAAAATAATGCAAAGATAATTTATAATTTTCTACAATATTATCTTTATTAATATGAATTTAGTAAGTCAGTAGTTTATTAATATTAATTTTATTTATCTAAAAATACTTTTCACGTGTATTCCTCATGAACTATATAGGCCTACCTCTAATTTGGCATCTGTATTATTTGTTTATTGATGTTTTCTAGATCATTTTATTTTCGTATTTTAATTAAAAAATAATTGTTTTACAGATTTCACGAACTTCAATTTCATATTTATCAGAGATAATTAAATAACAAAATATATTTATTAATCAAAAAATATTACGAATTAAAAAAGTATATAGATATAAGCTATTAAATATTGTTGACTATAGGCTTATTTCATTTTCATTATACAGAACCATAAACACTACAGTGTATTAATTTATTTTCTCCATAAATTATAGACTATATTGTAGTGTATATTGTTTTTGTTATTTTAATAGAGAAATTAATAAAAATTAAATAACAAAAAATTTGAAACATTTTTATAGGCTTTGTTAAAAAAAATGATAACAGAAATAATTTCTGCAACATATCTTCGATTACTTTACCTTGATTTAAAAAGTACCCCACCCAAGAAATATTTTTAGCGATGTCAATGACTAAACATCACCAAATTTAACTGAAGACCTTCCTATGAATTCGTATATAAAGAGGAGTCATTTTCTCTTGGATCACATCATTCAGTGCAATCAGTTCATTTACTTTACAAACAAAATGTTCAAGACTGTGGTAAGTCACGATCTTTCATAGTAATTATATCTATCTATAGTAACATATGAAACTAACATATCTTTATATCTTTAGGTGCTACTATTTCTCCTAGGCTTTGTAGCTTTAAGCTTGGCAGGAGATGTCACATTCCATCCTGGATATTATGGTCCTGCAGTCAGTCACAGATACGATCGTCGTTATTATCCCAACTACTACGGATATAATTATGGAAGATATTACAGAGGATATGGCAGTAGATATCACGGATATCACTTAGGTGACTATTATGGAGACTATTACGACACTCCATACTATTCACATTACTGGTAAATCTATTGATTAGTGAATTTCAAGATCGAAAAATTCACTTTCCGCACTTCATAAAGTTTAAATATCGATTCAGAACGTTTAAAACTAAATAAAAATATGTACAAATATATAATGTGTGATAAATAAAATCTTACATGTTTAGCCTATAAAGTTTTCTTTATGTATTTATTGGAAGTTTTTGATTTAAATACTGTACGAGAATAAAATGATCAGTACACGCTACAAACAATATAAGTTTATATTTTAAATTCGATATTCGTTTAGTGTATTTAATTATACAGGATGTTACAAAAAAAGTGTTATTCCTGCTAATAGAACTCTTCGAGATAAGCAAAAAAGTTGATTAACATATTTGTAAATTTACGATAATTCCCGAAATATTCGAGGTTATCCAAATTACCCTAAAATGGACCACCGTCATAGACCTGCTAACGACTGAAAATGGAGGGATAAATTAAAGAGCAATCACAAATAGCTTGCCATTGCGATCATTTTTTCCTCTGGGATTCTAAAATAACCAGGAAACGTCTTTTTACTGAAAGTTTTGTGCGAAATAAAACGGGAACTATTGAAATTTTTTTCTTCTTATTTTAAAACGTTGTTCCATGTAAGAANGCCGATCTTGCCCCTATACCCGGGGCAACTTCGTCAATTTCTCTCTTCTTGTAAAGTTGTAATTATTTTAATTATTTTTATTTCCAAACTGATTTTAACCAGTTCTATAGTAAGGTAACATTCCAATAGACAATATGCAAAGCTTTTTTTTAGTTTACAGCAGTATTTATTACACAAAATTTAAGTAAAGCTTAACATGCCGATCTTGCCCCGGTCTCCCATATATATTTGGTGCGTGTTGTATGTGAATAACAAGATTACGCATAAAGGTATTGGTAATGAAACTAAGAAAATTGATAATAGAATGCTCTATTTATTATGAATAATAAAGCTATTTTTATATCTTGTAATACGTGTATATACAACTTGTATTCTTAATAATTAAACATTGTATTCTTAGGTAGCGACGAAACATATTAACATAGTTTATTGTTTTCTTAAATACCTCGTTCGGTTAGCATATTTATCTTTAAAATAATAATCATATTTACAATAACTATAGCATAGTTCCTGAAAAAATATGGGTTCAAATTTTCAACTTAAACATTGTATTCTTAGGTAGCGACGAAACATATTAACATAGTTTATTGTTTTCTTAAATACCTCGTTCGGTTAGAATATTTATCTTTAAAATAATAATTTAAATAGCAATAACTATAGCATAGTTCCTGAAAAAATATGGGTTCAAATTTTCAACTTTAACTTCGAATAGTTCTGTAACTATCGCGATTTTGCAAATATCTTACTCAGCATTTTTTGTTTATCTGGACGAGATCTATAACCCATTTTCAAGAAAAAAGAAACCACTTTTTTGCAACATCCTGTGTAGATCATACATATCTTAAGTTGTTTCTGTATATTATCACATTATTATACAACGGATATAATTTGAATAAAAATAATCTTTAATTTTACTTTTCCGGTTCTGTTATAATAAAGGATGACGATCGGTCAAAAAATGATCTTCAAGATTTTTACATATTTGAACTCAGGGGATCCTGAAACGTCGAGAAATGCATAAAAATCAGGTTTTTTTTCTGTTATTGTCTAATGTTAGTGTTTGTGTGGAAGGTAAAATTTTGTTTACCCTCTTTGAAGCTTAATAACTCCCGTGCTTTTTGTCGAAAATTTTTGAAATTCTTCAGGGAGATTTGTATATTGTGGGGGGGTTGATGCTATTAAAATTTGGTGGTTAAAGATCAAGAGATGAAGAAATATGGAGGTCTTGTGTCATACCTCGAGTAAGATCCAACTTAAAATTTTATTCGTTATTAGTATTTACAAATTTTTTTATAAAACCCATTCCTATCATCAAATTTAATTTTAGGTCATTTGATAATAATAATAGATAGTTTTAAATATTGTTACTGGGAAACTTAAGCAACTCGCTGCATTTTTTTATTTTATTGGGCTGCGATTTGAAAAAATTATAGACTTATAAATTCCGACTTTCGTCCGTCCGTTCGTCTTTCCTTAATCCCGTGAATGGAGTTAGGAGATGAAATGCGAGACAGATATGGAAACCATATGGGCATATGACCCCGATATACGAACTTCCAATGCAAACCAGAAGTCACGTTATTTTAATTCAAAACTTTTCTCCTGAAAGCAGTTAATAGATGACCGGCACGACTCTATTGTTAAAGGAAAAGTGTGATGTATAAGGGCAAGCCACTACTAATTTTAGGTGGAGAGCTTATTCTAAATTAAATAAATTTAGAATATTATTAAAATTNACAAGCTGCAACAATTGCTTCATTTTCCTCTTCATCTCAGCAAGTGTACATTAATAAATACTGGTTTATTACCGAACACATATATTATTTGTTTTATCCTAATTATATTAATCTTTTCTTCAGAAAACGTTGGTTCTTATTACTAAAGCTTAAAAATAAAAAAATAAAAAAAGGTAAAATTCTTCCGGAGTGAATAAGTTGCACTATACTTGTAAGTGTATTCAGAAAAGTTGGAAAGTGAAAAGAGAAACAAAATGAAGAAAAAAATAATTATATTAAAATGAGTTCATTTTCTCTATCATATTATGAATTTAGTGTTTTCATCATTATTAAAACTACTACAGTAAGACCCCTCTTAACGCGGTGGGCGCGTTCCTAGACAACAAAGCGCTAAGCGAAACAGCGTTAATTAAACGAGGTCATTTTAACATAGAGTAAATAGGGATAGGGAAACACGCGACCAAAATTAAACAAATTTTACTTTAATTTTAAGTTATTTTTATATTAATTTGTATAATAATATATGTTAAATAACACATAAATAAACAGGCACACAGAAATGTAAAGTTCATTTTTGTGACCGTCACAAAAATGAACTTTACATTTATTTTCTGTCATTTATCATCAAAAATGAACTTTACATTTCATTATAGTTGTGAAGTTTCATTTGTTGCTGTTTTCTTTTCTTATGCAAATGTCGGTAGCAAAAGATCGCATCTAAAACGCCTCGTTTTGCTTTTGCACTCCTTTCAAAATCTGGATCATTCGCTACAATCAATGATTTCGGTTATCTTACCAAACTTTTACTAAGGAAATCTGTAGAGAAATTTTTTGGGTTCTTCGTTTTCAGAATCTCTATTTTCCAGTTCCACATGAATTCCATGTTCTGCCAGTTCTCGAAGGTCGTCGTTGGTAAGGATCTCACCAGAAACCTGCTGTAACTCTTTAACATCCTGCTCGTCTATATCTCCTAGTCCTGCTATATCGATTAAGTTGAATTTGGTCAACCTAACGATATAACGATAGGCTCTTCTCGTTGAGAATTCTTGGATACCTTCAGCCATAACTTTGTCCACACTTCGTTCATGCATTTATCAGTTAATTCTTGCCAAGCGAAGTCGATATTTCCTATGGCATCCATGATGTTATATTTTTTTCCAAAATTGCACCAAACAAACATAGATTTAAAGAAAGTACACCTTTTTGCCACCTTTTGCTGATTCGTTTGTGTTCGCAAATAATCGTATTATATACGAATCAATGAAATGACGCGTAAATTTTGAGGTTGTTTTTAGGCTTCGAGCAGACCGCGTTATATCGAATCAGCGTTAATCGAGGCAGCGTTAAGTGGGGCCTACTGTATTTTAAAAAATATTAAAAAATACAGAAGATACAAAAACGTCTTTGCTTCTGCCCTGTCCAACCACCAGGAACTAAAAATCAGTCTTCCCTCGCAGAGACGATCTTTTATTGTAGACTTTAGTTCTTGGTGGTTGGACAGAGCAAAAGTGTTCGATTTTGTGTCGGTCGAAGAAAAGACCAATGGACTAGTCTATACGCCAGCCAATAAAGAGAATCTATTTTCTGATTTTATAAACTACAGATATCTTAATTGTTTTTATTTTAAAGGTAAATGCCTCATTGCAAAATACAAATACACCAATTTCTTAACAATTTAAATAATTGTTTTATGTTACGCCTAATTCATCCAGTACTGAAAGCCATTAATAATTATTATAAAATAATTTTAAAGTTAATCTTGTCTTATTACAATCTTTATATAAGTACTGTATTTGATTTTAAATAGCATCTTATTATTTGCGTAATTGTAGATTTTTTTCATAAAAACTCAACATATGATAGCCTAATACTCATTTATAATAAAACAATTAAAAGTATTAATTGTTTTGTTGTAAATTTACTTTTTCAAAGATTAAATTTCAATAGATGTTTCTTAATTTTTCTTTTTATTTTCTTGGTTTTCATGATAATTAGCAAATAATGTTATACATGGAATGAACCTTGACCAAATGAAATAGACTTCAATTGGTTTAGCTCTCTAAATAGGTTACTGTCACGAGCTGATAGGTATATAAAGCAAGAAATAATCGTAGTTGATAACACTGATCACTAAAGTTTAAAGCCAAAATGAAAAGTTTGGTAAGCTATGTTTTATAATTAATTTATTTGTTTTCCGCTCCTTTGAAAATAATTTAACTTGATTTTTTTTCTTCAGCTTTTCTTCCTTCTCCTTTCTTGTATCGTCTTAGCGTCCTGCTATCCTTACGAGGATGTCAGGTATCTGAAGGGATACGGAGGAAGTGGAGTCAGTAGGAGTTACGATGATAGAGGATATGAGGCGANATATTAAAAAAATATAAATATACAGTATTTTTAAAAGTAAACCTATATTTACAAATATTCAACATTTATTTGTTGATTATAAAAACAAAATTAAAATCAATTTTAATAATTTCACAAACAATTTTAGTAATACCACGTATTTCCTTGACTTTCACAACATTACAAACTTAATAATTAATTTATTTTCATGGTCAAAATTCACATACAATATGATTTATGTTATAAATCCTTGACCAAGCAAACTAGACTACAATTGGTTTAACCCTTTATAAATAGGTTACCGTCACAAACTGATTAGTATATAAAGCAGAAAATAGTCGTTGTTGACAACATTCGATCATTAAAACTTCAAGTCAGAATGAAAACTTTGGTAAGTAATATTCTGATTTAATAAGTTTATGCTATAAAATAGCATTTGTGT